ACCCAGTCCTTGTGCCTACTATTGCTGGAAAGGAAACGGAAGGGAAGGCGGGTAGGGTTGCTAAAGAATAACCTGCAATTTGATGAAGATTTGAATGTGAAAAATCAGCATTAACTAGTATTTCAAGGTGAGCACAAGAAGCCCTAAAGCAGACCAAAGAAAGTCCTTTCAACTCCACCAAGCCAAAGCACGCTTTTAAAACTAATCTAACACAAAACATGACAGTAACATTCTCAGTTTGCATTTGGGCTGAAAGTGCTGAGACGAAACATACTCAACCATGTTCATTGGTGATATTTCAGAGACAGACAGTCATGTTGCTACAGTGAGAAAATCACAGCTTAAAAAGATCAGATCTAACATAAAATGTTAGAACTCAAATTAGCTTCTGAAAACAAGTAAAACTAGTTTTCTGTACTTGGTGTAGTTTGCTGCTATGGTGTAAGAAATCTCCATTTCTGGGAACAGCAACACATGTTTGGTTGAGGAACAAAAGCACCTGCCAAAACCACTCTGTGGAAAGAAAAAAAAAACACTCCCAGTTTGTTGACCCCTGAAACAAGTTAGGAAACCATGAAATGAAATAACAGGTACATATGCAGAACCCTAGTCTGATGAGTTAAAGGTCTCTGTTTGCATCAGCAAGTTTCTTCCATTTAACTTTGACTTCCCACTGCCACTCAGGCCCAAGCCCACATTCTTCCTTGCCTGGACTGGTGCAGTAGCCTCCGCCTGGTCTCCAGCTTCCTCCTGGCCCCATCAGTTTAGTCTCAACACAGCACCTGTTGATCCTGTAAAGTGGAGGCCAGGTGTCTTAGCTCAGGCTGCCACAACAAAATACCATAGCCTGGGTGGCTTAAACAACAGACATTTATTTCCCACAGTTCTGGAGACTAGAAGTCCAAGCTCAGGGCGTCAGCATGGTTGAGTTCTGGTGAGAGCCTTCTTCTGGCCTGCAGATGGCTGCCTTCTCACTGAGTTTTCACATGGTAGAGAGAGCGTGAGCTCTGGTCTCTTCTTCTTATAAGGCACTAATCCCACCCTCATGACTTCATCTAAACATAATCACCTCCCAAAGACTCCACCTCCAAATATCATCACACTGGGGCATAAGGTTTCAACATATGAATTTTGGGGGGACATGAACATTCAGTCCATAACACCAGGGTATGTCATTCCTCTGCTCAGATTTCTCCAATGGCTTCGAAAAAGCCAACATACCTTAACACCAGCCCCTATGCCATAGCTCTCCAGAGGGCATAGCTCACTAGGCAGTGCTCAGGAAATCTGTGAGGGCATTTCCTGGTGGTTACAGGGAATGGGGGGCAACACAGGCACTAAGTGTGGGGGGCCAGGGACGCTAGGTAGCCCTGTATAGCTGAAGATCGCCCCATATCTGCAGGCTGCTCTGATGTTCTGCCCGACACTCACACAGGCCAAAAACCTTTAATAATTATCGGAGCCTACAACCTAACTTCTTTATATAAAAGCACAAAAGGGGTTTTTGCATAATTTTATACACTGAATCTTCTCGGAATGTGACTCCTGTATAAATCAGGTAAGGATGTACTTTTTTTGTTTGGAATGTTACCAAGAGTTGTTCACCATCTTGGAAATCCGGTCATCAGAGGAATCGTGGTATCCTAGTCTGCACTTTCACCGGTCTGCGTTTTAACAGGCACTGCATTCACTCGTAGGCAGAGCCTCAGTATGATCAGTTTCTGTCCGGGCATGTACATGTTAAATTACATATATGTGATTAAAAATTACTCTCCTATTATTTCAGATTACCAGTTGGGTAATACATTTTTTTCTTTTTAAAACTGTGTGTGTACATTTTTTTCTTTTTAAAACGGTGTGCATATGTAGGTTACTATCTATAAATTTCATTTCAGGACAGTAGTGCGGGCATTTTTATAATAAATATTATGTAAAGGGAGCACTACGTCCCTACCTGACTGGTCCTCGGAGCTCATCTCCTCTCTCCTTCCCCACCTCTTACTCCCCTCTGCCACTCCAACTTCCATGCTCTTCCTCCAGCAGGCCAAGCGCACCCCCACCTTTGCCCCTGCTATGCCTTCTGCCTAAGACTCCCCTGCCTTCCTGAGTCCTTGTTCAAATGATGCCTTCTCAGTGGGGCGGATCCTGTTTAACCCCCACCCCACACCTGGCCTCCCTATTCCACTTCTCTGCTTTATTTTTCTCCATAGAGCTTATCCCCACTGCATAATTTATCTCCTCGTCTGTTTCTCCCCTAGAATGAAAGCTCTGTGAGGGCAAGGATTTTGTTTCCTTCACTCCCACTACCCTCAGTGCCTAGAACAGTATCTGTGAGTTTTTTTTTTTTTTTGGTGAGGAAGATCGGCCCTGCGCTAATATCCATTGCCAATCATACACATTTTACTGAGGAAGATTAGCCCTGAGCTAACATCTGCACCCATCCTCCTCCATTTTGTATATGGGATGCCGCCACAGCATGGCTTGATGAGCAGTGCCTAGGTCCGCACCCAGGATCCAAACCTGCAAACCCCGGGCCGCTGAAGCAGAGCGCACGAACTCAACCCCTTACATCACCAGGCCAGCCCCTAGAACAGTATCTGCATAGCTTTATAATCTACTTACATATTAATGGTTTAGAAATATCAACTTTGAAATCTTTAGTTATAATTGCAAGATTAAAATTGAAAACTCAGGGTCTCTATACATTACCATCTTTAATCTCTGTAGAAAAATATATATCAAGGCTATTGGTATCCAGGGCTGAATTTAGCTAAAATTAGCCAGTGTATTCTCAGAAAAAACATTGAGACTTAGAACATATTGACTATTGAAATTATTAGACCTTAATCGGATTTCTCTAATTCTTCCCTTAAGTGTCTTTTCACTCCTCCCTGCCCTGCGTATCTCATCAGTTGTTGGATTCTACTGATTTTATTTCTGGCACACCTCTCATCCTTCCCATCTCTTCCCTTCTCCCTGCCCTCCTTTTCAGGTCTGTCTCACCTCTCACTGGCCTTCCTGTCTTCAGTCATCCCACACATTGCTGCTGGATTAATCTGGAAGCAGAGCACCTGTTGAGTCACTCACCTGCTCAATCATGTTAACGGCTCCCAACTTCCTGTTCATTCAAGTACAAGTGCCTCACTGCTACAATATGGCTCAACATCCCCTCTGCCTTCATCTACCTCCATCCCTGAGCTCCTCCCAAATAGGACTTGTCCCTGCACACTAGAACCCGCTGCCTCCTTTGCTCCTTTCCAGGCCTCACTTCCAACCAAAATTCAATCCATCCACCAAGGCTCAGCTCTGCCACCAGAGCCTCACGAAGCCTTTCCTGCCCCTGCAGATGGACATGGGCTCACAGCAGTTCCTAGCACCTCTCTTTGGCAGTTACAACACTCTGCTCTGTTGAAGTTCTGTGTACTTGTCATTTCTCCCTACCAGACTGTGGACTCCTTGAGGGCAAGAACTGTCTTTTTCTTCTTTGTGCCCCATAGAGTATCTTTCACAGACTAGGTTCTCTAAACACGTGTTAAATTGAGAAAGAGGCAGATTTTTAAGCTCAAAGTTACAGGAAAGAACAGACTGATTCTTATGTTTGGCTAAGTAACAAACAAGGCAGGACACAGTTTTGCAGGATACAGCCAAGGCTACTTGTAGAAATGAAGACTTGGACAGATCAATTTCAAACAATACATGTAGGGAAAAGCAAAGTGAAGAATGAAGTGACTTGGGGCAGAAATGCCCTGCCTAAGAAGACTGAAACTGAGGGACAGCCCCAACATTTAACCATGAAAACATTTATTTCAATCCTTTTGTGACTTGATTTTCATCTTTGGATAAAATCAGAAATTCTGAAACTTAAAGAACTCTGCTTTTATTTTTATTAAAAACATGAAAAGGCTCAAACATGAAGGGGAGACAGTACAGACAACATTCTCGGAGCCTGTAATGCAATGCCAAAACCCAGCTCTACAGTCTTCTTGTGGCCACTCACTGCTGAGAGAGCTGGTCCTTTTGGTTGCTTAAAGTTCTTGCTGATCCAAGCAGGGCCCAGATACGCAGGGTGGTCTCTGGTCCCCTAGCTGCCATCATCTATAGAAGGGAACTAGGTTTGCTGCTAAATTGACAAGATGATGTGAGACTTTCTGACATATGCCAATATTTTTCCATCTAGAATACTGTTTTGGAACATTTTATTAAGGAAGGAAAAACACTTGCTGTGCTCATGAAAATAATGAGTCACAAATTAGTGACGCAAGAGAACATGCCAGTCAGACCCTAATCTAGGGCCAAATGAGAATTATTACCGGACATAATAATAGACATGACACTGAAAGCCCCAAATCCTGGGATCTGCATGGCTTTACCCAGGAATATTACTTCGGAAATGGAATACAGTTTCCCAGCTCTAGGACTCCACTCTGCTGTCACCAGGAAGACAAGATCATAAAATGGAAGCATGATGGATTAAATGAGCAGCAAGCTCAGTCTTTTACTTCCCTCAATGTAAAGACCCAATAAAGTGGCTAACTTGGATGAGTGTCATCTCTGACAGCCAGCAAGTATTTCAGCCTCTAGAAAAACAAATGAGTAATTTGAGGTCAGAGAAGATACCTTCTTGTAATTATGAGGACAAGATTCTAATCATTAGAACTTAAAAAATAAAATCTAATGCAGCATGTCTTCATAAAGACCAAGCAGCCAGAACTATTAATAGAAAAGCCTAGAGCCATTTAAACATGAAATCTGGACAGAAGCAAAAAAAGAAAAAAGGAAAAAAAAAGATAAAGTGTGACTCTTCAACTGATGCACTTTGTGGATAATCACAATTCCAGCTGTAAACATACCCTTTGAGTATAATTCCCTTTCCTCTCCCTGACTCCATTATCCTTTTTTACTAAATACTATATAACTTTTTTTCTCTTTTTCTGGAATATGTTTCCTCGGAAGCAGCTGAGCCAAATGTCCATGTTAGCCAAGGACCAAATCCAAATTACCTTCTTTTAAAGTCCATTTGATGGAGCCTGTCCTCTTGCTGACAGCATGCAAACTTCCATCGAGGGTTGACACAAACAACAAGGTTTCGGGAAGCGTCACTGTGCTGGGACTTCCAAAAATCTGCAATGAGATGCAGAAGAATCTTCATGGTCAGTATGATTCTTCACCTTGGGCATATACAACCACAGACCCCCCCACCCCCAAAAGTTATCTTTCTAAAATCTGCCATCTCACAGATGAAGAAACTGAGGTTAGAGACCCTAAGTTCTCATCAAGAGCACACGTCCAGACAATAGTTAAGTCAGGAACAGAACCCAGGTTGCCTTCTTCTATCTGAGCAGCAATCCTTCCTGCAGACAGACAGGCTTATGACCTAACATGACAAGGACAGGGATTCTCAAATAATCCCCCAGCAGGCTCCACTGAAACAGAGGGAGAAATGACACTCAGCTTTCTAACTGACTCCCTCCTCTCAGCTATATTTTACTTTCTAAAACCTGGTCATCTTGCAAAACTCCATGATAAAGAAGAATGCCAACACACCCACACACACCCACATACACTTACAAAATCTTTAAAGGCAAAGAATTAGGAGAAAATCTTTCAGCAAAATAGGAAAACCAGCTCTCATTACATAAAGAGTTTATAATAATAAAACACCATGATTTCAAGAGAGCCATGTTATAAAATATATAAACACCATAACTCAAATTGTTCTTCACTTATAACCAAAATATAATTTAAATCAAAAAAATTGCTCTATTTTACAGAAAATAGCCAAAGGTAGTGAAATTCACTTTCTCATCCACTGTTGGTGGCAACGAAAATTATAAGTTAGTGCAATCTTTCTGCAAAGCATAGAAGTGCTCATATTTTTGATCATGTAATTCCACTTCTATATCCTAAAGAAATAATTTCAGATATGGAAAAAACTCTGTGTACAATGATACTCATTACGTCCCATTTATAAACACGAAAAACTGGAAAGATGCGAACTTCCAATAATATCTAAATGGCTGAAATAAATTATGACACATACACTCAATGGAATATTATGTAGCATTAAAACAGCACTTGGAAAAATCTACAATACAGGCGCCGGCCCAGCAGCGTAGTGGTTAAGTTCGCGAGCTCCACTTTGGCGGCCCGGGGTTTGCAGGTTCGGATCCTGGGCGTAGACTGATGCACCGCTTGTCAAGCCATGCTGTGGCAGCGTCCCATATAAAGTAGAGGAAGATGGGCACGGATGTTAGCCTAGGGTCGATCTTCCTCAGCAAAAAGAAGAGGATTGGCAACAGATGTTAGCTCAGGGCTAATCTTCCTCACAAAAAAAAACACAAACAACTACAATATAGAAAAATGCTTATATACCTTATCACATAAAAAATATAGAATCCAAAATTTAACGTACACTGTGGCTACAATTATACTGGATCTACTTTTTTTGTTCTGCCTGTCCTCTAGCTTTGCTAGGAACCATACCCTCATCCACATAGTTTCCATGGGAGCAGCTGTATGTGTGTGTGCACACACGTGTGCACAAGGCACACATGTGCAGACAATAGCTGGTAAGGTTTCCTAGGACAACACCCTTTTGCAGTATGGGCCCATTTAGCAATGCAACCTTGTAATGAGATTTTCTCTTTCTTTGTCACTATATTGTCCCGCAAATTAGCTGGTTCCTGTGGGTTTTGAATTAAAAACAGGCCAATGCAACTTGCTTATACTACAACAGTTTGAATTTTAGCACAGATGCTATTTTTAAAATATAAGAGTATGGCTGGCTTTTAGCACTAAACATGAAACATTGAGGGGTTCCTTGTGCATGAGAGCCTGACCCCAAAATACCTGGTCACTCTTGGTAAGAGCCGTGATGACATCTAGTTAATCCCTTAAAAGGGAAAGCCCAGTGGCTCTCTCCAGGGCAGCCTGAGATGGCATGACAAACACTCCAGTCCCTGCATTCCTTTTCCACGGTGGAGACCCACCGGCAGGGGGGGTGAAGCAGCTGCCAGAACCTTGCTCATCTCATCTCTTGCCTGTGCCTGGCCTGGAAGAGAAGTTCTGCCCTTTACTTTGCCCAGAGCCAGGGCCCACTTACCTGGAATGGGGGAAAACAATAGAAGGCTTTATCCCTGCCTGCTGAGTCTGTTCTCTGCGTAAAGTCTTTAGTCTGAGGAAGAGTCTGCTTTTAATTCTACCTTTCGAACTAGGAAATTAGTCTCAGTACGACCTGGCTAGGAAAACAGAAGCCTCAAGGGTGGTACCTGCCCTAGCCGGGAATCCAAAAGTCATGTATACCAACTGTTTTGGGGATAGTTATAATTATTTTAGCTCACAGGGTATCCATGGTGACAAGCCTCACCTGGACCTGCTCATACCTGAACCTGAGGAGCACACCTTGCCCACAGCACCCGAGCCTGGAGAACAGTGGCCCTATGACAAGACCACTGTAGCTAAATGAGACTTAGGGCTGTCTTCCATTGAGAAGAGGGGACTGGGTTTGCAGCTTGATGTGGGATGGTTGGATTATGTTGGGGGGGGTGCAATTTGGAGACTGAATAAATGAAAAGGGAAGATGTATGCATACCTGGGGACCAAGAAGTGGGAATCCGTGCTGAACCCCCCTCCATCTGTCAAACAGTCACCCTGGAACAACCATTTTGTATACTAGGTCCTGGGATCACACAAGAATTGGGTTGAATTCTCTGGGTGGCCAAAGTGGTAAGAAGTTAAACTTGGGAGATTTCTGTGAATCTGTTTTCCTCCATGTAGAATAAGCTGGATGACAGAGAGAGAGACAAAGACAGAAACAGAGAAAGAAGCCTGAGAAGAAACACAGCTGCAAGATTGGGAGAGCACATCCCAGCTTCCACTATTCCTCAGGCCTATCCAAGTGCCTGTCCTGGGGCTCAGAGACACCCTAGTCTTCACAATCAATTCTCCTCTTTGCTTAAGCTTGTTGGAACTAGGTTTCTGTCACTCACGACTGAAACAGTCCTAATGCACACACACACACAGGTATTTAAAAAAATACATATAGAAAAAAAGATGAAGAAAATATTGCAAAATTATATCAATAGTTTTTTTCTCCTCTATTTTCTAAATGTTCTACAACATGATCATGTAATCCAGAGCCGGCCCCATGGCATAGCAGTTAAGTGCGCACGCTCTGCTGCTAGCGGCCCGGGTTCGGATCCTGGGCGTGCACCGACGTACCGCTTGTCAGGCCATGCTGTGGCAGCATCCCATATAAAGTGGAAGAGGATGTGCACAGATGTTAGCCCAGGGCCAGTCTTCCTCAGCAAAAAGAGGAAGATTGGCATGGATGTTAGCTCAGGGCTGATCTTCCTCA